CCTAATTTAGGTTCTGATGAACCTAAGTTTGGTTCACCTGAACCTAGTTTAATTTTATTGTTTGTTTAATTTTTCCCTCCCCCCCATGCAAATTTTTTAAAAAAATAACGTTAAACAAGGTTTTAATTTCAAGTCGCCTAATTATTAATTAAATATTATGCGATCGACTTTTTTAATTTCGTTGATGTATTAAGGCTTTTTATTTTTTTAGGCCATTTTTATTTCTTATACACTTATTTTGATCACTATTACATTGTGTATTGGCTATAGTATCGCTAAAGGATTTTCTCTTATTGTAGATCTTTTACAAGGTATTCAATCTTTGTATAATGAGATTATCTAATTTTAAATAATCAAAAATAAGTTTAACATTCAATTTTCAAAAAGTTAATATTCAATTTTTCAAAATGTCAGAAGTTGACCAAAAATTACAACTCGAAAATCTTGACCTTAACCACCACTATACATATCAGAAATTTGAAATATTAAACGAAAATCTAAAGACATGTGCTCCTCACTGGAATGAACAAATATACTAAAATGGTACTATTACTATATCACAAGGAGGTTTTAATTTTGATGGCAGAGAAAAAACAATAAGAGCACCAGACATAGCCTTTATGCCAAAAAATATAGTTCGTAATTTGACTAAACAACTATATTAGTCATTTTGTGAAGAACTATTCATGTCAACTTTTGTTGTTGAAGTTGCAGTGATTACAAAAGATTCTGATTTTGATAAATTAAATTCAAAATTTAGAGATGATTACTTTGCAGAAGAAACTTCTGTAAAACTGAGATGGATAATTAATCCAAAGAATAAAAATATTTGGGTATACAAAAAAACAAGAACTAATTTTTTACATTGCTATAATCATAGTCAGAAAGATCTTGACACAACAGTAAACAATCTTGAAATTTTACTAAGATTTGTATTAGGTATTAAATATATCAAAGATGCCTAAGGGTGTGGTGACTTAGTGAAGTGGTCAAGTTGTCACCCCCAAGCAGCAGGTCTAGAGTTCAATTCCTGCAGAAAGACAATTGTTGAATTATCAAAAATCTGCAGATCCTGTGGGATGGAGATGTCAACTTAATTAGACATACTGGGCATAGGACGTACACTGTAATCATCAGTCACACCAATGACGATTGGAAGTACCCAACTCTGGTTGGATACGCATAAATGAGCTGAGGGGCACCAATTAGGAAGAACCACTTGCAAATCCTGAGTATGGCACATATCCGGTTGATGGCGAGATAGACAGATATCATAAGACCATATAAGGGTCAATACCCATATATATAGAGTAGGACTATATAACGACACTCATTACTAAATACAAAAATATGAACAATAAGTTATAAACAATCACTATACACAAACACCCCAAACACAAACAAATAATCCTTTAAATGGGAATAATGTATGGACAATATGAACAATTACTATAAACAATTAAGTTCTTCTGTAAAGACATTAATGCAG